TATATATATATATATATATATACACACACAATCTCAGTGTTATTTGTGTAGCAAATCAGGAAAGTATAGTGTAACATGTACATGATGAATATTATTATAATGCCTGATTTTATATAGCGCCAAAAGTTGGCACAGAGCTCTACCACATAAAGGAAGTCAGCACATTTAGAACTGACAACGAGAAGGTTAGGAGGGCCTTGCTCTTTACAATCTAACATCCGTTGGGTTTGTGGTATGTCTGCGGAGCTCTCGCCTAGAAGCAGCCAGCTGTATGGCTTGACGAAACGTGACGTCCTGGATGTGATCTCATGATATCAGGAGATGTTTGAGCCTTCAGGGCGGGTTATTCCTTTCTGTAGGTCCCACCAGGATGGGGAATTTGTATGTGCCAGCTTAGTCCATGTGACTGGCTGTCATAGTACCCTTCCTCTGCCCTGTGTCATTGACTTAGGTCAAGTTCTTTCCTATAGCTCACAGTGTGCTTGTGTCATGGTCATGGTGTACTTTCCAGTGATGGTGCTTCCAAGAGATCACTGCAGGTAAGGGGTAACAGGATGTGCATGTCATAAGCAACACAAGTGACATCTAGACACGCGTGCAGACAAGGACACGTTTGCAGTAGAACTGACTCTTTTGTAGGTAACATCAGGATAAACACATGAACTTGGTTCTATTAGATTCCTTTACATGACATGGTTCTAGTGCTTGTAAAAGAAATTGCCCCAGGTCTGGAGGCTGAACCTGGTGAAAATTGCCCTGCATTCCTTTCTATTGTTCATTATATGGGCATAGTAGAACACTAATACTGTATTATAGCGCATGTATCAACGTTCAGCTTGGCTTATTTCCCAGACCATTTCTATGGAAACCACATTTGAGATTTGTCTAGGATTGAGTAATCTTGCTTTCTTTTCAGGAGAGGGATCGTTCATCACTTCTGTATATGTATATAATCTTATCCAACAAGAATCTGTACAAGAGCATTCTTCCTTCTAGCTAAAGGTGCCCATACACTGCACGATTATCGTACGATAATCGTATGCGATCGGTTTTTCGTACGATAATCGAGCAGTGTGAACGGAGACGTGCGACCGTCTCTACTGTACGGTCGCACGTCTTCTGTCGAACCAGCATGTTCGAAAACCAGCCGGGAATCGTACGATTCTCGGCTGGTTAGAACGGTGCTCGGAAGATAAATGCTGAACGGGCCGGTGTGCGCACGCGCACACTGCCCGTTCAGCATTGCGGTCATCGGAAGCCCGCCCCTCAGGGGGGCGGGCTTGCGATGATCGAGAGTGCGATCTGCCTGTCCAAGATAGGCAGATCGTACGTTTTTTTTAATCCCTTTACAACCATCGCAAGACTAAAGTCTTGCGATGGTTGTAGAGTGTATGGCCACCTTAAGGGTGTGTGTGTGATAGTCCCTACACATAATTGACAGACAGGTGCTTGTAAGCAGACGCCTTTTATAAGAAACACTTTGATTTTCATTCAACCCATAGTAACCCTTTGAAGGATCATATATAACCGTCTTGCATTCCTTTAAAAGTATGTTGTGTGTCCTGATTGTCATTTTATGTATCATGATGCTTTGAGGGTACAGTACACAAGGAACTTGCATTCCTTCAAAAGTATTTAGCATGTTCTGACCTTGAATCTCACTCGTTTCTAATCTGTAGGAAATCCTACAGTTACAGTATGTGTTTTCATAGTAGCGGTGAATAAATGAGGTCCAGAAACCTGAAATGAGATTACTCTGGAGGCTGCCATTGCTGCCTTCCATTAATGCTATTTGCCTGGCTGTCTCTGGCTTCAATACTTTGTCACCAACCTCCAGCAGCATGCAGATTAGAAGGTCGCAGTGAAGTCAGCAATTCTTCTTTGAATACCTGTTAGTAACTTAAAGTCCTGAAGCCTTTGGATCAGCTTGACAGCTAGGTAACGAGACTTTTCAGAAGCAGAGGTCCGCAGCTGTAGCCTTCCAGTGTAGGTTTCTATTGAAGCCCAACTTTAGCCACAACATTTTTGCTTTGGATACAGCGGGAAAGGGTTTAAGCTAGGGATGAACTGATACCGATACTAGTATCAGTGCCGGGGCCGATACAGGGCATTTTCACGAGTACTTCTAAAAATAGGCCAATTCTAAAGGCCGATACCAGCCCTTTAAATTTTTAAACAAGTTCGGCTGCCTTGTTGGCAGTGCCAGTCCAACTGCACATCTCCTCCTTCCCAGGACCGGCAAAGCACTGGATAGTCCCACACCTGCTGTACATGGCTGGAGAGCCCGGCACCCGTTTGTACACCCATGGAGAGCCGCACATACAGCCCTGGTGAGACTCGGATCGCAGACCTGGAGAGCCCGGCACCCAACAGTACTGCCCTGGAGAGCTGCACATACAGCCTTGGTAATACGCAATAGCAGCCCTGGAGAGCCTGACGCCCGGCAATAACTGGTACAGCCCTGTAGAGCTGCACATACAGCCCTGGTGAAATGCGATTGCAGCCCTAGAGAGCCCAGCGCGCAGCCCCAGTAAATGCCTGCAGACACACCGCCGCACTTCTGAGTGACCCTCGCAGCCCTTCTGAAGCCCGCAATAAACTATCATACTGCGGCTGCCTATAGTTCTCCTCTTATTGGTGTATGTCGCAGTGCTAATCAAATGCAATAGAGAATGGCAACCGGCTATAGAGGACTACAAATCTCAGCAATCCATAATTGCTAGGTGCCATTCTCCATTGCTGTATAATCATGGATTCATGGAATCTATAGTCCTCCATTGGTGATAAAATCATGGCTTGAGTTACAGTTCTTCCTAATTATAAAGAAACTGCCCTAAAATCATCAGTCTGCATTGTTTTAGACAAAATGTCACATGTGCCCTTAAGAAAAAGTATCGGTAATTGGTATCGGTCTTGGAAAAGCGGTATCGTTGCATCCCTAATTGGAGCCACTATTAGGGCCCATTCACACCAGATGCTGAGCGAACCGCATAGCGTCGGGTGGCACTGTGCAGGGACACCCTACAAAGTGCTGATCCCATTGCATCATACTGTGTTCTTTTTTTGTTTTGCTAGCACTTTATTGACATTTCATGTTTTATGGGCACAGCAGGGTGCAAGGCGGTTGTACTATGTCATATCGCGCTGCATTAAAAAAAAAAAAATAAGGCATGCCTTACTATTTTCAGGGCACACCACCACAAAGGCTGTGGTGTGAATGGACACAAACCGTGACAAGGCACATTGCCTCGTCTTGTGTTGGGGCTATGCTGGAAACAACGACCAGCTTGGCTCCAATGCAGATGGTGTGAATGGACCCTTAGGCTTTTATTGCTGCCTGTGGGAAACCTTTCTTTTACTTCTTGTCAGAGCAGAAAGTGATAGGAACTCTCTCCAACAAACACCCAGATAAAACCATATTTTCAGTGAAGAACGATTCCTGTATTGGGGATAATCCATTTCTTGTCCTGTTGTCACAGTGACAGTGAGTAAGGGGAAACCTCTACAAAGTGATCAGAGACAGAAATAAGATGTTTTAACTATTCCCAACTCTATCCAAACCTGTAAACAATGGCCGGAGTTGGACTTTAAGAATGGTTTTGTCCTAATATTTGATCTGTTTATTTATGCTTTAAATGTTTAGTTGAAGGTGAGGCTTTTGTTGCATACTACACACCCTGAGTATGACTCTACCCATCAGGGTAATTAGAGTTCAGTCAGCTCTTCACGTCTGTATTATACATATAACAATTCATAATGGAAATTAAGATTAGCTGAAAGGAAAAGTCGTGTTCACCCCTAGCTTGTTCTGCCTTGTATTAAGAAAATGATATGGAAATGTGGTTTCTGTGGGTGACATTTTTAGGTCTGTCATAAATGATGAGAAATCAGAATGGCATTTCTTGTTTATATTTCCTGTCTACCTTGAAATCAATGTCAATCAGCGGGTAACAAGAAATTCTCACCAGGAGTGAAGGAATTGACGCATGATGAAAAAGTATGACGCTTGGCTTATTTTTCTGTATATGCTTTGATCGTGTTACATTAAATTCCATTGATTCAAAGGGGGGAAACAACAACGACCTGATATTTTGGGTATGTCTGTTGGACGCTTTGTCTACGAACAGCAAGACTTGCATTCACCTAAACAAACATTATTTTGATTGGTTGTTTTCCAATATTGTGGTGAAGCGCATTTGTTTTTCCAAGGCACTTTTGATTCATGTTGTGACTACCTGCCACCTGGGCAGTAACGGAAAGTTTGATAACAATGGGGGTCTCTTCCTCTTATATGTAAGCCAGAAATAGTCATGTTTGCCGTATTACTGCCACTTGCTTGCATGGGTCTGAGGGTCAATTCACACTTGTGCATTGAGGTAATGTCCCTTGCCACAACGCATGGCAACGCACCTGCTCCATGCATGGTGTGTTGTGGTGCAATTTATTGTGATTGGCACAGAAAATGTTCATGACCCTTTTTTTCTTAATCTGTTGTAGTGCGTTGGCAGTCCATTAATAATGAATGGGTTGTCTTAATGCAACACACGTATGCTATAACACACTGCAATGGGACGTCTATGTTTTGACTGGGTCCTGCATTGGTTAATTTCTATGTATGGGGCAGATCCTATACCATGTTTTGTTAAATGAAGCCTGTCATTAAAGCCCAATTCATGACTTCCCTTGGTAGGAGAGGTTGGTAAAGCTATTCAGGTCAATAGAGCACATGCACAGACTCGGTTTACCTTTGGTCCTGGTTATTTCAAGCCACTCTAATTTTTCCTGGCATACGCTGTTCACCTTGGCACAGTGGTTGGAAGGGTATTAATATTTCCATTCTTGTGACTTTACATATTTGGCACCCACCCCTATGATCTTGTGCGCTGCGTATTACAGAACATGATGTGCACAAAGTATTCAAAACAATCTGTGGATTTGTTCTTTCAGAGGCAACGAGGGAAACATAAACTGTCTGTGTGCAGTAAGATATGTTACGCCATTGGTGGAGCTCCATATCAGATCACCGGATGTGCCCTAGGATTCTTCCTGCAGATGTACCTCCTTGATGTAGTACAGGTAAATGGCATCCTCGCTTGCTATGGTGTTCATAGAAAGTATCTCTCAAACCAAGGGTGGGCAAACTCTGGCCCTCCAGCTGTTGTGGAACTACAAGTCCCATGAGGCATTGCAAGACTCTGGCAGCCACAGGCATGAATCCCAGAGACAGATGCATGATGGGATTTGTAGTTTCACCAAATCTGGAGGGCTGGTGATCGCCGGACCCTGCCAGAAACTATCTCGCAAGAAATAAATAAGCCATGTACATATTGATTATTTTATTCTGCACTGCAATAGTCCATACTTGCTGCATACCTTGGTGGTTATCCCCCATGTTATTTTCTCCCTTTTTCGCCCTTAATGTTTTATAGCAAGTAGTGATCTAAAAGGAAATCTCTTGGTTCTTTTGCAGATGCCCGCGATTAATGCTTCAATTATCCTTTTCACCGGAAGGGTATGGGACGCTATCACAGACCCTTTGGTTGGGTTTTTTGTCAGCAAGAGCTCATGGACGCCACTTGGCCGACTGTTGCCATGGTAAGTGCAAGAACTGCAATTCATCATTATTCATGATCATAATTAAGCTGGCCATACACTATACAATCAGGTTGTACAATCTCCTTTAGATTTACCAAAGCTGTATAATATTAAGCCACACCAAAACAATCCATTCAATTTGTATCTAATCTGGCAAGTCCTTGTACTGCATAGTTGATGGTAGATCTGAATGAGACTGTGCGATCAGATTGCATAGTGTATGACCAGCTTTAGAGATTTACGGGTAAGTGGTAGGAACAAGTAAGCAGTGGGTAGCTATTGAAGCAATGAAGGTTAAAGCGATATTAAACCTTCCTTTTTTTAAAAAAAATAGTTGCTATTAGGACACCCACCTTTGACGGAGGATCTTGCTCTTTTTCTTTAAAAGTTTTCAATTCCTCGTTTTCTAGTGGGTCCCTGATAGGTAAGTGTGGGGGAGACTGGGGGAGAAAAAGGTTCTGGGTAGTTTTTACTCTAATGTAGAGAATGCATTAAGGTAAAAAACGCCCAGACCTCAATACTACTTTAATTTAATTAAAGGGAAAAAAAAGTGGTTGCTAAATTCTAAAAGTCAATCCATACTTCACTGATTTCAAACAGAAAAAAAAAAGTCACACTGCAATATGAAGCTGTTCAACCAGGAAACCATTTGTTATAAAGCCTTGACACTGACCACCTCCATCTTTGGTCCATGTAATCTTCTCTGTTCAGTAACACTGCTGGTGCGTCTTGTGTCATCAGTGCAAAGAGCAAGATGCTAAGTGCAAAGTGTGGTAGTCCATAGCAACCAATCAGACAGGCTCATTTGTGATGGCATGAAAACCTAAAGCCTCTCAAACTGGCACCTTTACCATCTTAAAGGTAGCTTTGATACCTTTGCGAGGAAGGCTAGATTGGGATGCTGGGGATAGAGTGGGCTGTGCTATAGGCTAAAGAGTAGGGCGTGATCTGGGCTAAGGAATGGGCTCTGGGCTGCGGATCGGTATGGGCTACAGAATGGGTTCTGTCATACCGATCTGGGTGGGCTCTGGGCTGCGGCTCGGTGTGGGCTACGGGTGGGCTCTGGGCTACAGAGGATAGAATGAGACAATAGCATAATGTGTAGAAGCTCAGTGCACTGTATTTGTAGAATGGAATGCACATTATGTTACAGGGCAGGTAGAAGAACTGTAGAAATGATTAGGTATTGTATAAGGTCCAGGGCTATCAGTGACCTGATATCTGTAAATGGAGATCATTTAGGGACAAGGGCATTCACTGTATGTACATATTGTGCAGATTGTTTGACTTGTAGCATACATATGCCTATATCAGTGTTGCATAGTATGTCTAAATATAGCCTAATTTGTTTTGACTACAGTATGAATGCTTGTATAAGGGGTGTTGAAATGGTTTTACTGCATTCATCTATGATGAAGTAGAAGAAATAACTGATACTGCACTTCTGATTTCCCCTCCCCCTCTCCCTCCCTCAAAAAAGTGCTTCATTGATGAATGCTGTGACCTTTCTGTAATGGTTCAGGGGCTTGAATTGGATTCAGCGGTGGAGGGGTTAATGACTTGACCATGGACGTGGTGGCTCCTCCAGACAGAACACGCCAGCTTTTTTTCCTGTGACGTGTCCCTCGCCTGATCACATACAAAGGCATGGCTCACGAATGAGTTAACATATAAAAATGGAAAGGAAGGCGGGAACATTTCTGAAGCTCAACACACCACCTATCTCAGCCAATCAGAGTGCTGGGTGTGTACAGCCGGCCTCTGTTAACCAATCAGCTTGGTGGGAGTGTTAAGCCATTGACTGACAGCTGTGTTTGGGGTTACTATAGGGCATATTATATAGCAGAGGTAGTGGAAGCCATTAACGCACACAGCAGATGACTGTTAGACTGAATGACTACATTTCCTGGTGTAACAAAGCACAGATACTGTGTACACATAAATGTGTCTGTAGTTTCCTGATAAATATGTGCTTTTAGGTATATTGTTCACTGACCTGCGTACCTTCCCAGATAATAAAGTCAAATGCTGCAGTGGGCTGCGGGTCATGAAAATACATTTTTTTCATTACGTAATACTGTAGTTTGTAATCTAAAACAATGAATGCAGTAATAAAAATGATAGTGGTCCGCACAGAAAAATGTCTGTGCATATTCATCCTGTTTATATTTTGGGTAACAGCTTTTAAAAGGGAACTGGTCCATATGCAAGAGAAAATAATGCCTCAGTTATAAATAGTCAGATTCTGGTAATCATGTCATGTGCATTGGGTAGAATAGGAAAATGGTCCTTTTTTTATTTCTTTATGTCTGGGGGATTTTCCCTTACTCCTCCCTACAGATGGTCTCTAGAATGGCAAATATCTTTTTGGCAGAGTGCAAAAGGGTTGAAATGTCTCTGTGTTTCTCATGGGAAAATTACCCTTCCTTTTTACTGTTGTCTGTACCTCCGCCGGTGAAAATCCTTCACATTTTTATCCCATTCATCACCTGCTACAAGATGTGACCTGTCCTCACTATTTCCAAAAAACCCTGAGTTTCAATTAAATATGCTCCCGTTCTTTTACTGGCATGTACATCCACTGTTCGCTCATGTCAGGAGAGATTCCTGTTGTTAATGATACATAGTTCTAGCTTTAACGACATTGGGGGAATTCATCAAAACTGGAGCAGACAAAATCTGGGGCAGTTGCCCATGGCAACCAATCAGCTTCTCTCCATTTTTAGTTAAGCTTTGAAAATGAAAGAGAGACACTGATTGGTTGCCATGAGCAACTGCTCCAGATTCTGTCGGCTCCATTTCTGATAAATGCCCCTCATTAGTTACCAACCTTTTTTTTGAGTCTGAGTTCTGAGTCTTCCATTGTTCACCTCGCAGTTGTTTGTGCCATACGTGATTAGTATAATTTTATAGGTGTGCCACAGTTGTTTGGATCAGCCTGTGGTGAGGTGTGTTTTTTTTCAAATGACACAAGAATACAAGCATGGGCAATGATGCCTTGCAATGTGTTTTTGGAGGTTGTGGTGTATTTGTTTGTACCCCTGTTTTGCCAAGCATTGTAGAATGGTTGCAGTCATAGACAAATAACATTACACAATGTGTGGCAAAATAATTTCCTAAGGTGACCAATGGTATGGAAGCCATTCCGAGTACATAAACATATTTATATTTTAGACACTAATAAAACAAAGTTATAGAATCTGGGACATCTGCAGAAATTGGTCTCATGCATTTTCATTGGTCTATACACATAAGGGCAATGTGGAGGTAGTTTGAGCACATAAAATGAAAATTTAGCAATGTGTAGTGTTACGAAACGCGATGTCTGATATGAAGATAACTTGTGAGGGGGATACAGGGGATACATATAGCTAGGGGTCCATATTCAGTATCTGTCTGAGATTCTGTGACTATAGCTGGGTATGAACTCATAGCGTTTTGTACAAACATTCAATAATGCCATCAGAGACTTGATGAATGAAGTTGGAAATTTCGTTTTCATTTGGAATGAATGGAGTTTCCACCAAACAAAAACAGATGCAGTGGTTCCACAAGAAAGAGGAGGAGGCTATTTGCAGCCGGCGCTGTAAACCAATGCAGCGGTTCACAGGAAGGCTGCCTTGCTCGGGACCTCGGCAGCCTTCCTGTGAACTGCGGCACCTGTTTACAGCGCTGACTTCAGTTTAAAATTGTTAAACGCTGGTATCTGCACTTAGTATCGGGGCATTTTCACGAGTCCGAGTGCCGATGCCCAGTATCGGCACAGATATCGGTGCATTCTTAGATAAACCTTATTTAAAAATGCACCACAGCAGACATACTTGCATGTCTTTACTTACGTAAATGAGAGTTTTGTCTTTTCTTTACAGAATATTTTTTTTTCTGATTATAAGTTTATTTTCTCATTCTTTCTCTTATACAGGATAATCCTGTCCACACCCTTTGGTGTCATCTGTTACTTCCTCATCTGGTTTGTGCCTGAATTTATCAATGGGCAAACTGTGTGGTACCTAACCTTCTACTGCCTTTTCCAGACCCTTGTGACGGTAAGGACTGGGGGCCAGGCATAAGGTTAACCTATAATTGTCAGCTAATGGGTAGAGAGACTGATATGTTTGTCCCCCTAACTTGCTATTTTTGTTCTGCAGTGTTACCATGTCCCTTATTCAGCTCTTACAATGTTCATCAGCAAAGAGCAAAGTGACCGGGACTCTGCCACAGGATACCGTACGTATTCTCTTATACTGCCTTTTTATGGAACGAGAAATGTCCTTACTACATACGTTTATTCAATGGTTCATGGAGTTTGTCCCTATTACACACTTTTTTTTAAATTACTACATCTTTGTGGTCAGTACCTGAGTGGCTACAAACAGTCAACATTTAGGCTGGGGACCAGAAATGTGCACAGCTAGTGGTCATTGTAAGCTACATATAAACAAGCAGAAACACAGAGACTTATATTAAAGTTAATAAATTAAGGAAATAGAGACCCATAAACTTTACTTGCAGTGAAGCTTGTAATTTTATATTAAGGTGAGGTGAAGTGACCTTTACAATCCTCTTTCACTTTCTCTTTTGTTTTTTAAGAATATATTTTATTAAACTTTTCCAGTACATGTTTACTTCATTAAACCAGTCAACACAATATATACAATGTATATCCCTCTTAAAACTCCCCTTTCCAACCTCTACATGCATAATTTCCCTCATATCCACTTTCCTGTCTCTTGATTATCAAATCAGATTTAATCCTCTTTCACTTTCACTTAATTGATTTTTACTGCACCTTTTCAAACAAGCCATCTGGGATTACAGAGATTCCCAGTTCAGAGAAAAAATATCGCCTCTCATTCTGCATACAGTGTAAGTGATCAGTGCAGAACCATGTAGATGTCTCTATGATTAAGGCACTAGGAGCCCACACAGAAGTGGAGTTTTAAAAGAGGGGATCTGGTCCATAATAGGAATTCTGTAATAAGGTCAGGACAGTAAGAATAGCTAAAAAGAACTCCTAGGGGCTGAAGGAGGAACCGAAGGAGTAAAGAGAAGAGGAGCCAAAGAAAACCTTTTTCACATCTACTTTTAATGAGCTGGTGTATGTAATGTGTGATTTCTGGATTACTGATATCTGCTGTGTTTAGGAAAATGGAACCACTCAGGATGAAAAAAAAGTATCTCCCTTTTTTTTCACGGTCTATAAGCACCACCCAAAGGCATCTTAGAACTTGTAGATTGACATTGGTCATTGACCATAAGACAGCTGAAGGCATAAACAAGCACTAAAGCTCCCAAGGGGCATCCAGGGAATGGAAACCTCAAGGTCCATGGACCATGTAGAATGGATTGATCTGCAGGCCACTATTTTTTTAATACACCACCATTAATGTTCTTCCCAATGACTTGTCTACACAGGTTGTTGGAAGACGAGCTTGCTGCCTTGAATGGGGAATTCTGATACCCTGTGTGCATATTATGTAGGACCAGAAGTGGAATTCCTTCTTGAAGAAAGCATACTTTTGAAAGTGTACACATAGAAGCATTCTTTTGGATCACTTTATCTTCTTATTCTGTTTAACTCTTCTACAACTGTTGCATTTAAACATAAACCTTTTTATTTGATTTGTAGATTTTGCTGCCTCCTAGAGTGTTACTCTCTAATTTCTTTCAATGCTGTTCTTACAGGTATGACTGTGGAGGTCCTGGGCACTGTACTTGGTACGGCAATTCAAGGACAAATTGTGGGTAACGTGGATACCTGTAAGCCTGTCTTCTTCCAGATGCCATCTAACAATACTTCTGTGCCTCCAGAAGACTCCGGTTCTCTTGGCAGCACAGTGAGTTTCTACATTCTTATCACCACAGATGTATTTCATGCTAATGCTTCTCTAAGTATGGCAAACATTTATACCTTTAACGCAAAGTATTCCTAATAGAAGCTAAATCCTTTTACCCAGACATGATTATACAGTTTCCTTTTGATTAGAACTAGAACAAAAAGGCCAGGGTACACGATTCTGTGTATGTCAGTGAGAGGTTGAAAAGGGCAGCTTTCCCTGGCTAGGAAGGGGTTAATCCTGGCCCAACAGGTAAACCTCCTCTCTCTCTATTAATTAGCCTGCACCTGATAGTGACTGAGAGGGGGGGAGAGAGCTCAGAGTGAGATCCAGGCTGCATTGGATGGACACAGACTGGAGAGTGTCTGCATATCTGCGGAATAAGGTCTGCCAGAACAATTGTATGTATTGGACTGTGGTTTTTTGTTCATTTATACTGGAAGCTGGAATAGCCGCTCCAGTAGGACGTAGTGAGGGACACTACTGTTTAGTTAGCCTCCTAAGGTGGAGTAGGCTTTTTTATTTGTGTTACTTTTGAGTTCTGCCGGAAATTGTTTGTTTAAAGGGGGAACGTACCCTGTCGATGGTAAGAGACTTTTTCGTTGAATGCAATAAAGCTGCATTTATTGCCAATGCTGATTAAAGACCAGTGACTTTCCTACAGGCCTACTTAAGCAATCTATTGGTATTATATCCTGTCAGGTAGACCATCACATTACATAGCTGTTGGTAAATCCAGTTGTTTGTAAGACTGCAGTGAGATGGCTTTATTACTTGGATCTATGGAGAAAAGGCTGTGAATAAGCACTACTTCACACTCTACTGGGCTGCTGTAGATCATAGCCTTTGCTCCACCAGCCTACACTTTCTCCTTCTCATCTACAGTCTTTGACTGCTCTTCCTCCGTAAATAAACAAAAACCTAGTAGCCTGTATATTAACCAAAACCAAACAGGACACCAACCTCAACATAGAAATGTGTGCTGAGCCTCTTGTAGAAATCTGGGTAGATGTAAGTAGAGGCATTGCCCACAAATGCATGCATTTGCCCTAACAACATGAGTTATAGGTATTTGATTGGCTGCAATAGGCAGCCAAATACCTGTGTGCATGAAAACCCCCAAATATTATGGTATGTAACTGTGTTTATAATATCCTTGTAAAGGTGCCCATACACTGCTCGATTCTCGTACGAGAATCACGGGAAATCCCGCGATCGTACGAGAATCGAACAGTGTGAACGAAGACGTGCGACCGTTTCTTTTGGCTAAGGAGCATGTTAGAAAAGCAGCCGAGAATCGTACGATTTTCGGCTGGTTTGAACGGTGCTCGGGAGACAAATGCCGAATGGGCCGGTTCAGCATTGCAGCATTGCGGTCATCGGAAGCCCGCCCCTCAGGGGGGCGGGCTTGCGATGATCGAGAGTGCGATCTGCCTGTCCAAGATAGGCAGATCGTACGTTTTTTTAAATCACTTTACAACCATCGCAAGACTAAGGTCTTGCGATGGTTGTACAGTGTATGGCCACCTTTAGAGAATCTCCTCATAGTTGTCATGAAATGTAATCCACTTTCCCATATGTGTTTTGCAGAGAGAGGCCTACATGATCGCAGCAGGTGTCATAGGTGCCATCTATATACTATGTGCTGTCATACTGTCACTTGGTGTGCGGGAAAAGAGAGGTAAGTAGCGACCATGGCTCTTTTTCTTTTTTCTTTCAAGCTACAGCTTTTGCCAGTTATTCACGTAACAGTTCTCTCTTCATCTCTTGCAGATTCCTGTGAACTTCTCTCTGAACAGTCAGTGTCCTTCTGGCAGGGCCTGAAACTTGTTATGAGCCACAGACCATACATTAGACTGATCGCTGGCTTCCTTTTTACGTCACTAGCCTTCATGGTAGGTCAATAATGCATTATGCACACATATTTATAGCAAATACAGAAAACGACATTCATTGTTTTATACCCAGTACTGTGTATATATACCACTTTGTTCTCCTATCTCTACATCACTCCTGCATCTCTCCATATTTAGTTAGTTATGTGTTTCCGGTTTGGTACCCTGTTTCCCCGAAAATAAGACCTAGTACTATTTTGGGGAATTGCTAAAATATAAGACCTACCCCGAAAATAAGACCTAGTTGTGACCGATCCCTGGGCAAAAGGGGGAATTTGAAGAGCCGCGGGAGAGAATCAGCAGTGCCAACAAAGCCAGCGCTAGAGGAAGCGAGGTGGCAGCGGAGGGAGTAAAGCCGCATAAGCCGATGCTTCCCCTATATCGCCGTCTCCTGTCACAGGCGGAGTGATACCAAATGCCCTCCGCCTGTGAGTAATCAATAGTGAAAGCGCGCTTCACCTCATTCTGGCCAGCGATGGTTAACAAATTGCTCTTGGAAAGGTAGGACACACCTGATTGCCCTGATCACCATATTCTTAACTTTGACACTGTCTTGTAAATCTTCTACCGGTTATAAGTGTGGATTGTTGTACATTTAAAAAAAATAAGACCTAGTGCATTATTTTGAGCCAAAAAAAATATAAGACAGTGTCTTATTTTCGGGGAAACACGGTATATTGTACACTAAAACTATCTGACAGATGCAAGTATGATTTTGATAAGATTAATAGAGATGTTGATTGGAGTTTTCCCCAAAACAACAATCGGTAATAAGTTTTCATGGTTCTGACTACTCTTGCTGGCTGCACACAAGGCAGTTTTCAGGCAATTTTACCAGTTTTACAAAACCAACCATAAAGATGAATGCAGCCTACTACCCACACCTTTTGTTGACCATATGAAATGATCCAAAGTGTTATAGAGGTTGCCTTGTTCTGGTTTCTTTTGTTTTGTTTTTGTGAACACCTGGACGATTCGTGACCGAGGGGCACTTGTGCACAAAACCGCACGGATGGCCGAGCTGTCAAGGAATCGGCCACCACTTCCGATCGCGCTCCATTTTCTACTGGCAGCCCAGTCGCGCCAGGCAGATTGTGCGGTTTCCGGCCGCGATACTGCCCGTGTAATTGAACACAATCGCTGCTAAAAACAAGCCGCTCATCGTGTGTTGCAAAAAAAGCTTTTTTTTTTTTTTAGCAATTGCCGCGGGGATTTAACTCCATTGAAATCAACGGCGCCACACAGCTATTGCTGTGTGCCTTTGTGCATGACCGCGCAGTCCCAGGACGCGTGTTGCGGGATCTCCCATATCTGAACCCAGCCTTAGGGCTGGTTCACCGTTGGGTTGCATTTTTATGGCATATGTATGATATGAACAAGACACAGAGAAAACAATGTGCACTGTCCATACCACACAAGTGGTGGTGGGCAGAAAAAAGCAGCTTAACAGACATGATGTGAAAAAGCCCCTACTGTTGGCAACTGCATGTGATTTGCTTTTATATATTCATATACCTAGGTTGGTATGGTACTTTAACCTGTTATTAGCATTTACTTTTGACTACTTTGGTAGCCTTCCTGTATTCATACATTCTGCAGGTTCTGCCCAATACCAAAATTATCTTTACCTTTTACAATGGGCTATCTTCTATAGTGTCAAAACCAGTTTCATTTTATTCTTCTCAAAAGCAACATGAACTTGAAAAGTTCTTCATTCATATATGTACATGTGGTGTTAACAAAGCTGAAAATGTTTCCAAGTAGCTGTCACCTATAGCAACCCTCTGATTTATATAACTTTTTTTTCCCCACAACTTTGCCAATATTCATATGAATTATCATAATGCTTTACATTCCAGCTTCTGGAAGGAAACTTTGCCCTTTTTTTGAAGTACACACTTCAGCTGCGCAACGACTATCCGAATATCCTGTTGGTTATAATGGTGAGTGCGGGATCTGGGGGACACATTATATAACCATGTCAGTGAATTCCTTCTGTCCAGGATCAGGCTCCCAGTCTCATTATTTCACTCTCTATACGCAGTTACTTATACACGTGAGTCCTCAGCACAGTATTACACGTCGTTGGTTTGTGCAGTAGCAGTTAATGCTGATTACAGCTGTAACTGCCTATATCCAACTGATCCGAATACTTAACATTCAAAGTCAAGTACACACAGGCTCTTTTGTTCTGTCAGCCCGGAGACAGAAAGTCATTGTAAGCTAGCGAATATAATATTCAGGTCTGAGGCCCTCCTCCCTTTCATTTTGAAAGATTGCTGAAGCCTGAATCCGGTGAAACTATGTAACACACAAATCTTCCTTTTATCTCACTTTTCTTTGCTTGTCCACCCCCTTTCTACATAGTTTCTTTACTGTGTTTTGAAAAGCCTCAGTCATTCTTCTACTGTTTTCTCCCACAGATTTCTGCTACACTGACGGTTCCCTTTTGGCAGTGGTTCTTAACCCGCTTTGGGAAGAAAACTGCAGTCTATTTTGGGATATCGGTGAGTAAAAGTAGAGGTAATGTAATCTAACTAGCAGATGCATGGAAGGAGTGACACAGGGTACTTGGCACAGTGAGGTTTAAGAATGGAACGTCAGGCATTTGAACAGTGTTAACTTTTGGTGTCCTCTAGTGGTGGTTTGTAAAATAACAGAGAAGCTAGCTTTTCTGTTTATTCCTAAAGGAAAGTTATGTTGACAGAAATCTTGAAACTGCGATTACCAATGTACTGAAAATGATAGTTGCCTAGGTGCTTCTACCCTCAATACTTTGAGTAACTAAAACCGAACAAGCATTCCGTAAGTCAGAGGAAAGTCAAAACTCCTGATCTGTATCCCTTTTCCAGGTCAGTGACTCAAAGAACCAAAGCCTTTGGAGCAGCATAGCTCCCTGGAGTAGCTGGTGCCTCCAGCCAGTAGGGCATTCTTATTACAGCTCTCTGTAACAAGCTCAATTAGCATGTCTCAATTTTAAGTAACGGCAGCTTCAAGAAACTCTAGGCTGCCAGACCCCTCTCCCTATTGTGAACAGTAAACCCAGCACTTTTGCAGACAATCATAATATTCATTGCTTGTACCTGTGACTTTATCATTTTGGTCATCGCCTATAACTTACATAGGTCACTCAACTTTCTTTCCTAATTTGCATTATGTAAGATGTATTTGAAGTATGGCAAATTAAATATGAATGTTAGAAATATTTAACAACAGAACTGATATACAAAGTGCAATTCTTAGCAAGCAATCAGCTTCATTTTTGGTCTACAGGAAGATAATGAATGTTGGTTGTTTTAGGTAACTGCACTCTACACAGTAGGCTTTGCTCTGTTGAATAATTAACACTTATTAATATGGCTGCTTCTGTACCTGTATAAATAGGAACTTTTCATTTTTAGTAGGGAAATTTTGGCCGCCGAAACATTTCTGCCAAAAATTGTACTTTGGGGGCAAAAGTACCATAATAGCCGAAAATGCGGCTGAAAATTCCCTAGCTTCTCTCCTCCCTGCTGGGCACCAGTGCTCCGATGCCTGCGGCAGTCCCCCACCTGTGTCGGCAGAAGCAGCAGGGATCCGGGGGACAGACAGGCGCCGGGCGCGGAGAAAATAAGTTTTCAGGATGCCGATCGGGACGATGCAGGAGAAGACAGCTGTCAGCTGTGACAGGAGGCCAAGCTCTCCTCCTGCACTGCCCCGCTTAGCCTCCTGTGACAGGCGAGTCAGGGTGCCGAGCGGAGTACAAGTATCAGGACTGATCGCTGTGTGTTTTTAAATATAATAGTATGCTTACTGTGTCCCTGGTTATGAATGAACAGGAAGTGCTCTACATCACTTCTGGTTCTTTCAGGATTGTGGACATAGTAACTCGTACTATGTCCACAGTTTATGAATGGCCAGGAGCACTCCGTATAGAGGCTGCAGAAAAAGAGATTTAGGACTTTGTGTCCTCCAATATTTTTCTATTTTAAAAGGGAAATATCAGGGGTCTAAACAGAGCCCCAGCAGTAAAGTAAGAAAAATAAATTAAAATAGAATAATTAAAAAATTGTAAAAAAGGTTTGGGGAAAAAACGTCATTTTCAGTTTCGGCCTGACCATTTTTTTATTTTCCGCTTCGGCCTAAAAATTCCCTTTCAGTGCGTCCCTGGTTTTTTAGTAACGCTGTTTTTGCATCTGAATCTACATAAATAGGAACTTTTATTTTTATACCCTGAAATATTCTTGCATGTGTCTCTTGCAGTCCGTTATCCCTTTCCTGGTTGTCGCTTGCGTTGTAAAAATCAACCACATTGTGACTTACGTAGTTGCAGTAGCTGCTGGACTCAGTGTGGCTGCAGCCTACCTTCTACCATGGTAAGTTATACTAGTTAGTCTTACTCAAGCTCAAGATGGATTAAAAAATGCAATCATTTTATGATTTCTGGGACTATAAATGTGTACTTTGTGAAGAGCTGCACAATACTAAAACTATAACTTTGGCTGGCCACACACGTGCAGATCTGTAACAGTGTATGCAACCCTAGGTAATGGTCATGGGTGACAAATATTGGCTATCAATACTGTTCTGATGATGGTGGGCGTGACTTTCAAAAGCTGCATATGTGTTGCCAGTGGGCCCCTTGAATGATCACAAAATCAATGCTTGACATTCTATATTTAAATGAATATCTGTTGGCCTCTAAATTGGCAGACCATGCACAGAGAAAGAGAAGAGAATGTCTAAAGGTACCCAACAACATAAGATGCTTCATCTAACAAAAATAGAAGCCACATGCAAACCAGTCTGACAGGATTGAAAACCTTGTCTGATTGCCATTATCTTCTCTCTGATAAGCCGCCTCCAAAGATGTCTGCAGGATGATTCCATCTCTTCTCTCCATAGACTAAACATAAATGGCTGTTTCATTCAACCATTGATGTTAAGGACCCCACTGGAGGATGCAGATGCTTGAGGGTGGTTGGCTTGATGGTGCATGTCCTAACTACTCTCTGTCTACAGCAGCCTTTAGCAAGGGGCTTTTTAAATCACTAGCTCAAGATTAACCTGTTGTTTGCTTCTGGTTACCCATGTTGAAAACTGTACACGATGGTTTGGGTAGAACCTCACACTACACAGTTTTTTGGTAGATATAAAGGAGACTACAATAAGATTGTGTGTGGCTAGTTTAAATATACCCTTTTCTGCATTTATCACTACTTTTAAAATCCATTTCCACCTTTTGTATGTGATTAGCATTTATTGTGGTAATGAAGAGGTGCAGTGATAATCTATACATGTGCACATTTTCATGTCTCACATTGCAGGCTTCCTTCATTTTCTTGGAAAAAAGGGGGATGGTGTACCCAGAGTTCCACACCCTATAATGGTCAAAATGACCTTGTTTAGATAGTTTCTCTCACTGACTAGCAAACAACCCTCAGCTGCTCATATGAGACAACGGAAAAAGCGATTGGTTCTGCCCAAAGTGGTTATGAACCTAGTGCAGCTATACACGAGGGTCGGAGAGTTAAATTGTAGTATAAATCAGTTTTATTAGTAAAAAACATGTGCTCATACACAAAACGAATGCACAGTTCAACCTACCACCTATACAGTCAATAAAAAGTTTATTGCAACAATCCATTCATACATGCCACTACTCAAACACACAGGGAGCTAGCTGATCAGCGCAATTAATGTCATCTGGTGGTCCTCAGATTAGGAAAAAGGAACAGCAAAAAGGGGGGGGGGGGGTTTATGGAAAAGAAAAAATATATTCAGTAGATTATGTGGGCTGCCGGGCGTTCCTTAAAGGCGATAACTTGGAATTTTAGTCCAATTTATTGGGTGTTCATATCTTTATGTGGAGGAGGTGTTCGTAAACTATTTATTTTAGCTTGATTGCAGAGTTTCAAGCGGGATATAGCCAGATATGTGAGGTAAGACCCGGTAAGTTAATATACGGAGTGCCGCTGAGTTATGACCACACCTGGGGATTATACCTCCGATCTGTGTGTGACAAACTTAAACTCGAGTAACATATACTCACGGCTCCTTAATACTTCAACCGGTCAGTCTGTATCGTTGGGCTGTTATCCACTTGAATTTTTGGTTAGTATTCTTTTCATCATAACCTAGTATCAGTAGACTGCCTATCAATTTTAGGCAGTCCCAGTAGTTTTGATTTCAAAGGATTTTCGATCAAATATAAAGTCCTTTTTACTCCTGCTGTTTGGATTATCCACGCGAACTGATCAGATGCCTGACTCGCAAGTGGTCAGTCAAACTAGCATCCCGTGACCGGATGACGCGTTTCACCCCTCCTACGTTGCCGGGGCTTCGTCAGATCCTGATGGTTAGTTGAATCACGAGACTTTTATTCAGTTTCTCATGAGTTATAATTAACCCGTTTAGTGCCGTGAATAGATTACTTACTTGCATACTTGGTTTCTAGGCTTATTGCCACTAAAAACTGGGGGGGGGGAGGGGGACAAGGAAATATAGGAAAGGGCCATATACAAGGGAGAGTATTGTGAAACATCTATAGTAATACCGTTCAAATCTAATTGTTACTTGTTCTTATTTTTGTATACTCGAACCTGAAGGGTTAGTTAAATCCCATTATTGATGTCTATGTTAATCCTTACCTAGTCTTTTTCTTGATGTTTAGTGTGTTAATTCTTAGAATTTTCTTAATAAAAGGTTGTTTTTTTTTAGACCTGAGGCCTAAAAATTTAACATTTTCTACCCAGAAAAATTAGTTAGACACCGGGGTCGGACGGTAATTAGGCTGTAATCAGCGCCCCCCCCTGTCGCCCATTGTGACATGATCAGTAAACACTAGCTCTGCCTTTACACACAATACACTGTCCAGGGAAGGGGGGGGCGCGGATATTTTCCCATTGCTGGCACTGCACAGAGACAGACATTTCCATGTCGATATGAAGAGGAAAGCTATCAAAATATGTAAGCTTCTGTTTTTAAATACATCAACTGCATATGCCTGTTTCGTGTACACTTGGTGTACATTGCTGGCCTATGTTTTTTTTAAATTACTCTGCAAAGGTGGAAATGGGCTTTAAGACCTAAGAGGGTGATTGGAAATCTGTGCAGGTTAATGAGCATAAACTTTACACATCATGTTGTGTTCATGAGAAAATAGAAGGGAGAGCAGAAAAGACAAACCGCTCTAACAGATGCTACAGGTACTGTCCTGCCTACGGGACAGGGGATGCCGATTGGGTCCATTTTTGCATAGGCTGGCCCCATGGACACACCATTTTTGCCAGGGCTGTCTTTTGTTGGCTGTAAATACCTTTTAGTGTTTTAAAGATCTAATGTGTACATGTAAATACATTTTTTTAAAATAGAAAAGTTGATGACTCACTACATTTTAAGTCGCTCATCAGGATATTTCTTCACCCGAGTTTTCTTTCCTCACTTCAGGTCTATGCTTCCTGATGTTATTGATGACTTTATTCTGAATAACCCAGAGTCTCCTGGACATGAAGCCATTTTCTTCTCTTTTTATGTTTTCTTCACCAAATTTGCCTCAGGGGTGTCGCTGGGAATATCCACTCTCAGCTTGGAGTAAGTATGCCTGGAACAGTCAGAATAAAAAGAAGTGTTCAAAGCCATTCCTATCATAAGAATGTGTGATATTGTTGTTGTTTTGGGCTGTGTCTTCTAGCAGCAGCAGCATGTGACTAGGTTCATGTTCCCTTGTCTGCTTTCTGCTGCTATAGAATGCGGAATCTTGGTATATTCTTGCACAGTTTTTTCCCCAATGTCTATAGTGACTGGAATAGGGAGGAATTGAGGTGGTATGGTCCAGGATGGGAAGTTATAGGAAAAAGTATATGTAGTTTTTATGTATCTTCTATTTGTATTTTACCTTTGCAGTCTGTGCTTTAGTCACTCATGACATTTTTATAATCAGTTTTGCAGGCTATCAGGCCCTTTCGTGTGATCAACCGGAGGCGGTGAATTTAACACTGAAGTTGTTGGTCTGTGCTGCTCCTATACTTTTGATTTGTGTTGGACTGTTACTGTTTAAATTGTATCCTATTGATGAAGAAAAGAGGAAAGAAAACAAGAAGGCTCTTCAACTTCTCAGGTGAGCATTAAATTGGTGTGCCCATGATGATTACTTGCCATTTTCCTTTCCTTTAATAAAACATTATTAAGAGTTAGGAATGAATTAAACTCGGAGACCTAAAATATAACTGTTGAAGAGGATATAATTAATGAAAACATCTTAGAGAAGAATTATTTCAGTCTACGCTGCCCCACAATGAGCAGTTAGGTTCTTTCATACCGCAGAGTCAAAAACCGATTGGCTTCTGTGCAGAACAGACTGTCGGATCCCTAGACCGACCAGGAGAGGGAGCCTTGACTTTTGGAATCATGCAGTAAGGATGGACCCTCTTGTATAGGGGGTCTGTAATAGATTATTAATTGGGGATAGTTTACAAAGGTGTAAACAAAGCAAAGTGTTAAAAGTGGGAGGAAGTGGGCTTGCTGGTTTCTTGGGAGTCAACCAGCAAGCCGAACATCTGTCTGACACTGTTCTGACACCTCAAGCATGGATCCTGCAGCCATTCTAATGAGAGTCTAGGAGATGTTGGAAAGGGGAGAAGGAGCCTCTCTTCTGCCTCTTATCGGCATGGAGCTGACAGCAGCTCTTCACACAGACGCATTCATGAATAATGCAGGTTACAGCCACTACTTACATCCACTCGTTGTGGATTTATATAGGATATCGTATACAGGATTTATATAGCGCCAAATGTTAGAGCAGTGCTTTACAAAATACAGTTAGAATACAATTCAATATGTTTGTGTATTTTTTTTATTTGAGTGGTCTATTTTAAATGGTCTATTTTATCTTCCTCAGAGAAACAGACCGGGACTCAGATTCTGACTCCATGGAGCTTGCAAGCAATTTATGACACCGGCAAAGTGCCTTCCTAAGTTTACACAAAACTGTAGAGACATTCAGTTTACCCCATTGGGGGTAGGTACCAGCCAATGAATGACTTGTATGCACTACGCTCTAAATTTCCCTCTGGGGACAAGTGCCACCCCTTGGTGCTATCTGTGCTTGGAACACACTGAATGCTGCAATCCTACTGAACGTTGCACTAACATAGGGCAAATAGAATAATTTAACTGTAAATTTTCTGAATCGGTTTTTTGTACATAAAAACTTCATTCCAAATGTTTAAGGAATGGAGAAGGTAATTATTTGTTGTTAAATACTGTACATGTGATGGAAAAGTTCTAATGCGTCTCAGCAGGTTTTGAAAACCACCTGCAAATTGCCAAACACTGAGATTTACTAGTGTATGTATGGTAATAATAAATGTGGGCGATTGTGTTTTATAATGTATACACTGCTGTATATTATGTGAATCTTGCTATGTAAATAAGTATTTGTAATTTATATTCAACAAAAACATTGCCACGTGAACATCCTTTAAAGATATAATATACTACGTTTCGTATTTATTTTACATAAAGCACATGGGCAAAACTTTTTGGGCAAGCATACTTTTTTAATTGTATTAAGAGAAGCTGCATGTTGATTGAATGACCAAAACAACACACGGACTATCTTCTGACTCCTAGAAGACAGTGTCTCTATTAGCACAATGTTAGAATGCAGTATTAATGGTTAACCTGTGTGGTTTTGCTGTTTTAAAAAGCTGACTATCTGACGTATGCTTGTTTGTTTACAACTGTACATGTGTGCAAGATTTTCTACCTGTTTGGCAAATATGTATGTTTTCATAATGGTCTGTTTTTATAAATTTGTTTGCGTTGCTGTATGAATGCTCGTTGTATAGAATGTAATATTGGCAATGTTTGAGGCTTTGTGTTGTCCTGGTTAAGGCTCTCTGTAATTTTGAAACATGATGCACTATAAAAAGACATGTAAAATTACAGATTTCCTGACGTCTCTTTTCATGCACGTAACATTCTAATTAAACTTTATAACAGGGCGCCAAATTATTACTGCAAGAGAAAATGCTTTTTTGCTCATGGCACATATGGGCTTATCTCTGACAGCATCAGCGTCATCTCTGTAGCTGATGTTACATAGAGGCCAACTAGATATTTCCATCTCAGCTGATCAAGGCTTTCTATGACATACATTTTGTGGTCATACACTGTCCTTGTAACTCTGTCAATTCTGAAGTTACCAGATATTACCCATCTAATGTCAGTGGTCATCTTTTGCACATGTGCTGCCACTACAGATGCACAGTACCTATAAATGCTAGTTAGCATTGCTCAGATTAATATATAATGCATAACTACAATCAAACACAAAGTGATAATCCAAATCTGCAGGGCTTCGTTGGTGTTCCAGATTGACTCCCTTAGACAGCTGTAACATTACTATTTTTGTGTCAAAGCAGATGTTCTGTCTATTTTAGATAGCAAACCAATGAAAAACATGTTCACAGCTACAAACGAGCCACATAGCGCTGTGTAGTGAGACCTGTTAGAGTGTAGAGATTCCTGTCCATAGTGTCAGTCTACCCACAATTTAAATATCTATTTGTGGTAGATACCATTAATCCATCTAATGTATGTCAGTGACTCTCATGGTAAGGGATCTGCACCCTTCCTATGGATATTATAAGGGTTTTCCACTCTTCCTGTTGGATTTCTGATTTACTCTCTATTATGGAGATGCTTAGCTTCAGAGGCGGCTCTTTAATTAGGCAGTCGCCTTAGGCCTCGCGGCCGCCTAGTTTGCCCTGTCAGAACGGCAGCCAGGTAGCGTTGCGAGCTCTCATCCCCGTAGCTGTCAAACTGAGACTCTCAGTTTGACGGGGACAGGGCTGAGAGCTCATCCGTTACCTCGATCGTTGATGCGGACCATCGGCTCGGTCTTCTGCACGAAACTCCGCCCACCAGCCAGAGACTTCACCCCACGAGGATCTCTGGCTGGGAGGGTGGAGTTTAACTGCAGAAGCTGATGGAGACGTCGTCCTGCACGCTCCTGCCAGCTCCCGCCCGCAAGACACGACCAGCACAGCACAGTACTGGAGTGGCAGCCTGGAGAGCCCTGTGGAAAGCAGGTGAGAGTCCTGTGGAGAACCCTGGTTTAACCAGGGCTCTCGCCCTGATGAGACCCCACAGAACCCTGCTACCCTGGTGAGGCCCCCTCAGAGCCCTGGTTTAACCGGGGCTCTGTGGGGGCCTCACCAGGGCCCTGAAGGGGTCTAACCAGGCTGGTGAGACCCTATGGAGCCCTGGTGCTGGTGAGACCCCCATCTCGCCCTGGTGAGACCCCACAGAGCCCTGATTTAAACAGGGCTCTGAGGGGTCTCACCAGGCTCTGTGGGACTAACAAGGCTGGTTAGACCCCACAGTGCCCTGATGAGATCTTACAGAACCCTGCTATCCTGGTGAGGACCCCACAGAGCCCTGGTTTAACCTGTACAGTCTCACCTGGGCTGTGTAGGGTCTCACCAGCACCAGGGCTATGTGGGGTCTCACCAGGGCCCTGAAGGGGTCTAACCAGGCTGGTGAGACCCCACGTAGCCTTGGTGCTGGTAAGACCCCATTTCGCCCTGGTGAGACCAGACAGAGCACTGGTGAGACCCCACAGAGCCCTGGTTTAACCAGGGCTCTGTGGGGTCTCACCAGGGTCCTGAAGGGGTCTAACCAGGCTGGTGAGACACCACATAGCCATGGTGAGAGCCCTGGTGAGACCCCCATCTCGCCCTGGTGAGAGCCCTGGTTTAACCAGCACACTGTGGGGTCTCACAAAGGATCTGAGGGGTCTAACCAGGGTGGTGAGACCCCACATAGCCCTGGTGCTGGTGAGACCCTACAGGTTTAACCAGGGCTCTGTGGGGTCTCACCAGAGCTCTGTGGGGTCTCCACGGGGCTCTGTGTGTCTAACAAGGCTGGTTAGAACCTCCGGTGAGGCTCCACAGAGCCCTGATGCTCTGGTGAGACCCTAGAGAGCATTACAGAGCCCTGGTGAGACCCTACAGAGTCCTGGTGTGACCCTGCAGAGCACTGGTTTTACCAGTGCTTCTTGAGGTCACACTAGGGCTCTTTGGGGTCTCACCTGGGCTCTGAGGGGTCTCACCAGGCTGGTGAGACCCTACAGAGCCCTGGTGTTGGTGAGACCCTACAGAGCCCTGGTTTAACTGGGCCTGTGTGGGGTCTCACCAGGGCACTTTGGGGTCTCACCGGGGCTCTGTGGGGTTTCACCAGCCCTGGTTTAACCCCACAGAAACATGTTGGGACCCTACCCTGGTGAGCTGGTTAGACCCCACAGAGCACTGGCGAGACCCCTCAGTGCCCTGGTGAGACCCCACAGAGCCCTGATTAAGTCAGGGCTCTGTAGGGTCTCCCCAGGGCTCTGTGGGGTTTCACCAAGACTGGTGAGACCCCCACAAAGCCCTGGTGAGACGCTCACAGAGCCCTAGTTTAACCAGGGCTCTTTGGGGTCTCACCAGGGCACTGAGGGGTCTAACCAGGCTGGTGAAACCGCACAGAGCCCTGAATAAATTAGGGCTCTGCGGGGTCTCACCAGGGCTCTGCGGGGTCTCACCAGCCTGGTTAAACCCCACAGAGCCCTGGTAAGACCCCACAGGCCTGAGTGGGGCCTCATGTTTAGGTTTCGCCTAAGGCCTCGCAAACTCTAGAGCCGCCTCTGGTTAGCTTACAAAAGGTAGGTGGGAACTTAGTCAGGAATTTTTGTCATGGAAATTTCACTAATGATTATCCAAGACCTATAAGAAGCCTGACTCCTCACTATTGGGTGGACTAATTGTAAACTGCTTCGAGGCAGAGGATGCAAACTTCCCACTTGTCTTCTCAAAGAACCTTAGCTGCCCCTCCAAAGCAACCCCTGGCAGTGGCCTTATTTCAGGGAAACCATATCTAACCTCTGGAAAGATCCATCTAGAGCAGGGATGTCCAAACTCCGGCCCTCCAGCTGTGGTGAAAGTACCAATCCCATGATGCATCTCTCTCTGGGAGTCATGTCTGTGGCTATGAGAATCTTGCAATGCCTCATGGGATTTGTAGTTCCACCACAGCTGGAGGGCCAGAGTTTGGACACCCCTGATCTAGAGGAAGCAATTCTTCCCTAAAATCAGTTGCTTAGGGGTGCCCGCAGAGCTCGTGGACTATAGGCGACATACAACCGTTTCCCAAATCCTACTAATTCTGCAACAATCCTGCCACGTCTATGGACAGTCTTTTAGACTTCATTGTAAAAATCTGTCAACAGTAGATTCATATTTAACTTGTTCATTTATTGTTGACTAGAGTTAATGCGGCTAGCTGCTGTATGGCAATACATTGGTTTCAGATTTTCAGATGAGGTGGTTAAAGCTCCGCAAACAAAATTTCAGGTTTAACGGCAGCCTTATATATGTTGTACTTTTTGTCTGATGTGCATATTGTTTTGTAGAAGTTGTTTGGCAATGCAATATAATAATGGTATGTAGCTATGTCTTATGATTGCTATGGAGACTTTCTAACAGTTCTAGTTAATGAAAAATATAATCCTTGACTTGATATATAATATGCTTATCATACCCCCTGCTGTCTGCCTCATTACCACTGTGTAGAAGTGGCTGTGTTACAGTCTTACAGAGCATTGCATAAGTTAAAGAATAACCTAATTTATATTTCAACATCAGAGAGCGCACAATGCGTTCTGTATTCAGACTTACTAAAATAATCCCCTAAGTAATTTTTACCATTTAAGTTCTTTAGAAGTAAACTTCTGAAATTCTTGTCTGACATCTGCTTTATCTGAGTTTTCTAGACAGTAGTTTCAGAGTAAAAACACCTGTATAAGATTCCTCTGGAAACAAGGTACCATTTTGACACTCCAGGGCATACATACTAGGCACAGAAAAGTAGGCAACCCATGAGCTGAAAAATGGCAGACTTTACCTGAGGCTTCTTACACATGCATTGCCCTGTCTGAAAATTCAAATTCCTTCTCTCATCGATTGAGGGCACTGAAACTCTATCAGGTTATACTGCAGCCTAAAGGGGGATTGGACACTGGGAAACAAAAAAAAAAACCCTCCTAATAATGGCATGCCTCAGTTTTCTTCTACTGTCCTAGGAGGATGGAAGTCTTTTCTTTCAGCTCTAACCTACTTTTTTTGTAGCATTTTTTTTATTTCATTATTTTTTTACTTAATTTAAGACTCTGGTCACATCACTCCTAGCCCTAATCTCAGATTGCAGCGATCTGGCACAGCCTGTTAGCTTGGTC